ACTAAATATCATTTTGAGTGTCTGTCTCCCCCACTAAACTATAACTATGAGATCAGGAACCACATCCATTTTGTTTGTCTCTGTATATCCAGGCCCTTTCGCAGGGTCTGGCACATAGTATCCTACTCCATGAATTTTTGTTGAATGAATGAATTTCAGCAAATTTATAATTTTCCAACAAACAGTACTTCCTTCTTGAGTCACAAAGCAGCCGCTGCCTATATAATTCTTTGTATTTTATCCAAATTCATTTCTCATTTGATCCCAACCAGCTTGTGAGGTCATTTAATATCTGTACTTGACAGAAAAAAGAGAGATTTTCTCATTCATTCATTCAATAAGCACCTACTATGTGCCAGGCCCTGTGCTGAGCGCTGGGGATACAGAGCTGGATAAGACATGGTCCCTGCCCTCAAGGAGAGCTCGGTTTAATGGAGGAGATGGACGAGAAAGCACCTGTTGCAGTGCACTTGGTAAGTGCTAGATAGTGGTGTGCACAGGTCTAGGAGAGCCCAACAGAGGAACTGGCCAGCCTCAAAGTTGTAACTGCCCGTTCCAAAATCTTTGGAGTTACAAATGCTCTTCTTCCTGTGCCTTTTATGTTCCATTTTACTGCAAGCCTTTCTCTGGCCTCTGAGTTTCATTGTACAAGGTGAAGTTGGTGATCTAGAAGCCTCTCTCTGGCGTTATGGAAGACACAAACTCGGGAGTCAGATGGATGTGGATTGGGAACCCCAGTCCTACCACATGTTAGCTGACTTCACCTTTCTGAGCCTTGAATTCTTCATCCCTAAAAATGGGACAATAATTGGTACCTCACATAGGGTAATATGAAGAAAAAGTGTAGTAAGACATATTACAAGTCACCAAGTAACAGTATCAACTTTTAGCTAAAATAACCAAAAACATGTCTATAATATGGAGATTTTTTTACAATAATAACTAACATTTAAAAGTGCTTTACGATTTCAAAGCACTTTCATAGACATCCTTGTTTATTCATGGAACATTTAATGAGCATATATTATATATACACCAGAAAATGGGCAATCCAGTGAGAAAGGCAGCATGGTTTTCCACTGTTTTACAAAGAAAATTACCTCTCCTATCTCAGAGAGGTGATTTGACTTACCTGAGGTTACCCAGTTAATAAAACCTCATTTGATTCAGATTAAGGGTTCCTTGACCTAAAATTATATGTCCTTTTCATTGTGTTTCTATCTCTTATGACCAGTGCAAACTCTGGATAATGGAGCTGTATGTCGTCTTAAGGCAATACTACAAGATGTTTGGGGCCTTTCCCTAGCCTGGGAAGCCATTGCTACTTGCTTAGGCACAGCAGGGAGACACAGGCAGGAAGGGACCTTGAGTTTCCTCCCTGGAGTCCAGCAAGGTTGGTAGTAACCTAGCTGGCTCTTGGGAACCACATAGGCTTGTGCTGGTTATTCAAGCAAATTGCTAAATTGTTCATTAGCTCTCATCACAGATAGAATAGTGGCTGCTGATATTAGGGACATACCGCTTGTAGCATTTTAAAGGCCCTGGTTCATTCGGGGAACCATCTTTCCTCTCTGAATCTATCTGGGGTCAGCGAATCATATTGCACTCTATTCTTCATTGGATCCTTGGGCACACTGCTTCTCCTTTAGGGGCATGAACAACCCCACTCCACCCCACCACCACCACCACCACACACACATACATCTAATTCAAAGGTACTTTTTGAGTGCCTCCCTCCTTAATCCCTTCTCCTACAGAAAAAAAGTCATTTTAGAAGCAGATTCATTAGATATCATTTCTTTCATGATTGGATTGTGGACAGGAGCAAAGCTTTATTTGGGCTAACCAGGCCCAAATGTAAAACCCTGTAGTTAATTCTATCTCTAATTCATCTTCCCTTGAATTTTCTTTCCTGACAAGAACTAGCCTTCCCTACCTGTTCTCTTCTGAGCACAGGTACAGTTATTATTAATAGTTTTTACTTCCTCATCCAGCTAATCTGAATTTAAGATGATATAGCTGTCCAAAGTCAGCTGTGCTCTTTTTTGTTTAAGGCTAAAACTTCTTTTTTAGGGATCTCTTTTCTTTCCTTGATCTGAGACCAGAAAAATACAAAGCACCAGTTCCCTGGTAGATAGAGTTGTTTCTGCAATTGAGGGAGTGAACAGCTTTGGGTAGTAACTGCAGTTACTTAGTAAGTCCTGAGCAAAGAGCCTGATGTGCCCACTGATGTTTGAGAATAAGGGATTCTGGTGATCCAGTGGCCCCTGAGGTCCGAATCCCTGTGTCAGCTGTACTAACTTTCTCTCCTTTTTCCAGGTTGGTTTATAAGTGGTTCCTGCTAATCTATAAAATCAGCTATGCCACTGGCATCGTTGGCTACATGGCTGTCATGTTTACCCTCTTTGGTCTTAACCTATTATTCAAGTGAGTACCCTTTGCTTTTGTTTTTGTTTTTGCTGGTGTTTGCGGAGGAGTGGCTAGTGACATGTACCTTTCTTCCTGCTGCAAATCCTGGATATTTACAAGAGGGATATAACACCCAGCATAGGAAACTTTGGTGCTGTGGGGGGCTGAGAGAGGCCCTCTGTGATTTGTGCTGGCAGAAAGCAAAGATTGTCTGAATATATACAAAGTCAGAGTTCCAAATTATTGGTTGTATTTTCTAAGAATTTATATTTTAGTGGAAAAGTATAATAACAAAAGTAAGCATAATAATTGTTACCAATAATTATTACCCATAACCCCATCATCCTAACAGAACTATTTTCCTTATATACTATTTATTTGCAACATTCACTCTGCCCGAGTGGCCTTATATTCATCTGGACCAGGGAGATTGGCAAACTATGCCTTGTGGGCCAAATCAGCCTACCAACTGTTTTTATAAAATAAAGCTTTACTGGAACACAGTCATGTTTGTTCATTTTCATACTGTCTATGGCTGTTCTTGCTCTATCGCTCCAGATAGACTGCAGTGGCTCACTGCAACGTCAAACTCCTGGGCTTAAGCTTGCCCTCTGGGAGGGCAAGGCAGGAGGACTATTTGAGCTCAGGAGTTTGAGACCTGCCTGAGCAGGAGTGAGACCCTGTCTCTACCAAAAATAGAAAAATTAGCTGGGCGTCATGCTGTGTGCCTATAGTCCCAGCTACTCAGGAGGCTGAGGCAGGAAGATTGCTTGACCCCAGGAGTTGGAGGCTGCAGTGAGCTATAATGATGCCACTGTGCTCTACCCAGGGCAACACACTGAGACTCTGTCTCAAAAAAAGGAAAAAGGAAATTGAGACAGAGTCTTTCTCTGTCATCTGGGCTAGAGTGCTGTGGCATCAGCCCAGCTCACAGCAACCTCAAACTCCTGGGCTCAAGCGATCCTCCTGCCTCAGCCTCCCAAGTAGCTGGGACTACAGGTGAGCACCACCACACCCGGCTAATTTTTTCTGTTTTTAGTAGAGACGGGGTCTCACTCTTGCTCAGGCTGGTCTCGAACTCCTGACCTCAAGTGATCCTCCCACCTTGGCCTCCCAGAGTGCTAGGATTACAGGCGTGAGCCACTGAGCCCAGCCTGCATTGTGTTTTAAAGATGTTTTTTCTATAATTACAGTTTTTTTTTTACTTGCCTAAACAGTACAAGGTGGAAAACAGAATTGAGATTCTTGACCATTTTTATGGTGCTGATCAGGTTAGTTGGTGTAAGATCAATGATATCTAGTCAGTGGGTTAAATATAAGGTTGATGAACAAATTAAACTTTTTATGATAAATATAATTTACAACTTTAAGTGAACACATACAGTCCTTTGTACAAATATTTTAACAAGTAATTTTGTATAACATTTATAGACTCGAGGTTGCAAATTATTAGTCCTAAGAATTATTAAAACAAACCCTCTAATATTACAGGCAAGATCTTTATCCCTGGTAAAATAGACTTGGACCAAAATTTGACATGATACAGAATATGTATAGATGCAACTAATAATTTTATGGTAACTGGTATGTAAATATTTACTAACTAACCAACTTTATACTTTTTTCTAAACCTGTGTTTGGCAAACTTTTTTCTGTAAAGGGTCACATAGTAAATATTTTAGGCTCTGTGGGACAATAGGCAAAATCTAGGATAATATGTAGGTACTTAGATAATAAGAGAGAAAACTTCTACCCTGCCCCACCCTGTTTATGTGGGGAAGGGGGTCAGGTCTCAGGTAATGGGGATACTCTGTGCCTAGTGGCCATCAGTTGAGATGTTCTCGGAAGGAGCAGCTTGGCAGGGGGTGTTTGGCCACTTTGGGTAGTTTTCGCTTTGCTCCAGTGACAGCAAGATCCTGGTGTGCCCTTCCCTCCTTTGGAGGGCTCAGCCATTTCAGCTTGGGTGGCTGGCTTGGAGTGTGACAACTCAGTGAGGCAATTCACTTGGTGTCCAACAGTTGCCAACAGTGGAGTCCCCATGTGTAGGTCCTGACAAGTAAAGGTCCTGGGCAGCTGCAAGGCATGGCCACCAGTCGGGGGAGTCAGGAACTGAGAGCAAAGTGGGGGAAAGGAACAGGAGGGGATACTCTAGCTTGGTCTTTGCAGTTCATACTGCTAGCCTCCTCAAGAGGTGTCCACAGGCCATATAAAAACAGGCAGGCTAGATTTGGTCATAGTTTGCCAACACTTGCTCTAGAGTCTTTGAATCTTCTGACTTTAGTCACTGTCGTGTGTGTCCCAGAGTAGTAATCCAAAGCAGTCATGTCTCACACAGACCTTACTGGCTATGCTGCTTCCCCCACAGGATCAAACCAGAAGATGCCATGGACTTTGGCATTTCTCTCCTCTTCTATGGCCTCTACTATGGAGTTCTTGAACGGGACTTTGCAGAAATGTGTGCAGACTACATGGCATCTACCATAGGGGTGAGTTCACCTGGGCTCTCACCTGCCTCCTGCCACCTCCAAATTGTTGATGCTGACATCACTTGTTTGTTGGAAGAGGGGATAAGCCATATAAAATCCTTCAAAATGTGGGTGGTATGCATAGAGATTTATTCCTTAAAATTTGGAAAACCAGATCTCAGATGTACCCTGGAATTTTTAACTTTAGGGCCATTATAGGAAAGAACCACTTTACTCAGCAGGAGGTTAACAGTCATTTGACTAATACTTTTTAATGCCTACTGTGTGCCTAGCTACTGAGCTATGTGTTGGAATTACAAAGGTATACAACAACAAACATAGTCCTTGTCCAAATAGAGTTTACTCTCTAGTGGGAGAGAGATGGGCATTAAAATAATAAACACACAAATAAACATAAGATTACAACTTTAATAAACATCGTATAGGAAAGGTTTATGATGCTATGAAGAAACATAGTAATGGCATTTGACCTAGTCTCAGGGTTCAAAGAGGACTTCCCTGAAGAAGTGACTACTGAGCTGACTTGAATATTCATGAGTAGGAGTACTAAATAGATTAAGTAGGGAGTGAAATGTGTACCAAGTAGAAAAAATAGTATGTGTAGGGGTCCTGTCATGGAAGAAAGGGTAGATGTTTTTGAGGAACTAAAACAAAGGCTGGTGTGGTTGTACATCTGAGATGTGGTAGGAGTGTCTGGAGAAATAGGGACTAGACTAGAAAAGAGCCTTTTACCTCTTTTCCGGCTGGAACCACGGAGGGTATCGAAGAAAAGAAAAAGAAGATTCCTGCTGTGTGAGAAACCCTTAAGAAAAAATGAAGGAATTTCACAGAGCTGAAGATCAAATGCCTGAGAAAGAAGTTTGCCCAAAAGATGCTTCAGAAGGCAAGGAGGAAGCTTTTTATGAAAAAGCTAAGCCTTATCGCAAGGAATATAGGCAGACGTACGAAACTGAGATTCGAATGGCTAGGATCGCAAGAAAAGCTGGCAACTTCTGTGTACCTGCATAACCCAAATTGGCATTTGTCATTAGGATCAGAGGTATCAAAGGCCTGAAAGTTGTTGCAGCTTCTTCGCCTTCACCAGATCTTCAGTGAAACCTTTGTTAAGCTCAGCAAGGCGTCAGTTAACATGCTGAGGATTTTAGAACCATATATCACATGGAGGTACACAAACCCGAAGTCAGTAAATGAACTAATTTACAGGGGTGGCTATGGCAAGGTCAATAAGAAGCGAATTGCATTGACAGACAATGCTTTGATTGCTCAATCTTCTGGTAAATATGGCATCATCTGCATAGAGGATCTGATTCATGAGATCTATACTGTTGGAAAATGCTTCAAAGAAGCAAATAACTTCCTGTGGCCCTTCAAGTTATCTCCACGGGTTGGAATGAAGAAAAAGACAACCCATTTTGTAGAAGGTGGAGATGCTGGCAACAGGGAAGACCAGATCAACAGGCTTATTAGAAGAATGAACTAAGGTATCTACCATGATTATTTTTGTAATCTGGTCAGTTAATAAACAGTGACTGATTTCAAATTAAAAAGGAAAAAAAAGCCTTTTAGGCCAAACTAAAGATTTTGATTTTTATACTAAAAACACTGGTTGGCTAAGATAGAGAATGACTTTATCAGATTTGCATTTTGCAAAGATCATTCTGACTGCTGGGTGGAAAACAGATTAGAGAGAGGTCCACAGATTGGAGTGGACCACTTAAGACTATTTAAGAGACAGTTGCTTATATGCATACGACTATTATGTACCCAAAATAATTAAAAATAAAAAATTACAACAAAACCAAAAAAAGAGACAATTGTAGTCCTCTTGGAAGATAAAGGTCACTTAGATTAGAGTAGATATGGTAGAAAACGAGAGAAGTGGACTGCAACAGGCCTTTGAATAACATCGTTTTGTTCGATGACATTTTGTTATAATGTTGATGAGGGGGAAAAAAGCTACTGGGCCAGGGCCACTGTATGTGTAGAGTTTGCATGCTCTCACCGTGTCTGTATGGGTTTTTTCTGGGTACTCAGGTTTCCTCCCATGCCAAAGATGTGCATGTTAGGTGAATCGGTGTGTCTGAATTGTCCCAGTGTGAGTGGGTGTGAGTGTGTATGAGTGCATGCTGCCATGGAATGGTGTCTTGCTCAGGGTTGGTTCCCACCTGGTGCCCTGAGCTTCTGGGATAGGCTCTGGCCACCCATGACCCTGAACTGTAGTAAATGAGTTGGAAAAATGAATGAATCAATGAATCAATGAATACAAATTATTAGAAAATAAAAATTGAGCCAGGTGCAATGGCTTATGCCTGTATCTCAGCAAACTCAGGAGGCTAAGGCAGAAAGATCACTTGAGGCTAGGAGTTGGAGACCAGCCTAGGCAACATAGTGAGGCCTATCTCTAAAAAAATAAGAAAAATTAGCCAAGCCTGGTGGTGCATGCCTGTAGTCCTAGCTCTTTGGAAGGCTGAGGCAGGAGGATCACTTGAGTATGGGAGTTCTAGGCTACAGTGAGCAATGATCGCACCACTGCACTCCAGCCTGGGTGACAGAGCAAGACCCCGTCTCTAAAATAAATAAATAGATAAAAATCCGTAAAGTATACGATAATCATGCAAATGCACAATAATCATACAAATGTGCAACAGAAATGATGTAGTATGAAAGGGCTCAGCGAGCGCAGCATATTGGTTATTATTTGTTTTCGAACTGCATGGTGGTAGGAGGTGCTCCTTACAATTTTCCCTTTGCAAACATTTATTCCTTGATTTAACTCACCACCACTGCAACACCATCACTCACTGATTCACCAAAAATTGGGTAAATGATTATCTTGTTTTTGTTAATCTTTCTTAAATGTATGAGTAGCTCACATTTATCTCAGTATTTACTATTAGAAGTGTTTTGGATCTTTATTTAGCAGTTTGGTGATGTTTTGTGACCTGATATATGCCATAAAAACTTAATGCTTATTTATATCAATTAGCCTGTGGCAAAATTGGTTTTATTGTGTGTCATTTCACTTAAAGTCGAAGTTTCCAAGAACTTATTGATGGTAAGTGAGGACGTACTGTATTTGAGAAGTTCGGGAGACTAAAGGAAAAAAAATCAAAGAAATGTAGGTATCAAAGCTGACATTTCTGACTCAGTGACTTCTTGGATGGTAGTACCGTTCACTGAGATAGGAAATGCTGCAAGAGGACTAGGTGGAGACCACAGGGAGATACTTCAGGGTTAGACTGTGGGTGAAGTAACAACCAATCTGAGAAAGCCAAGTAAATATCCCTAATTTTTTTAAAAATGGAAATATATCTTTGTTGTTTTGCTGTTTATAAAAGTAACGTATTCTCGGCCGGGCGCTGTGGCTCACGCCTGTAATCCTAGTTCTCTGGGAGGCCGAGGCGGGTGGATTGTTTGAGCTCAGGAGTTCGAGACCAGCCTGAGCAAGAACGAGACCCCCGTCTCTACTAAAAAGAGAAAGAAATTAATCGGACAACTAAAAATATATAGAAAAAATTAGCTGGGCATGGTGGCGCATGCCTGTAGTCCCAGCTACTCGGGAGGCTGAGGCAGAAGGATCGCTTGAGCCCAGGAGTGTGAGGTTGCTGTGAGCTAGGATGACGCCACGGCACTCACTCTAACCCGGGCAACAGAGTGAGACTCTGTCTCAAAAAAAATAAATAAATAAAAAAATAAAAGTAACATATTCTCTTTGTAGTTATTTAAACAGCACAGAAGTGCTCCCCATCTCAGTATCATCCACTCAGACCTCACCCCAAGAAGGAATATTTCCATTACTTTGGGTGACTTTAATCAAGTACAGTTTTAGGCCAAGGATTTTGTTTCTCAGAATCATAGGACTGTTTTTATTTTTTCTATACTGGATCAAATTGAAAACAAAAGTATTGAATCACTTCATAGACAGCTTATTAGATACTTTTTTGAACAGCTATCTTATATTTTAGCTTCATTTCACTTTTTTCTATTAGACTTCAGATCTTCCTTTAACCAGTCAGTTGACTCCTCAGAAGAAATTTCCAGACCCTAGAGTGTCTAATTATTAGCTTTACTCTCAGCAACAGCAATTCACTAAGGCTATTTCTTTAGCATAGCCAGCTTTTTAGAGCTGTTCAGCTTTTCAGAGCCAGCTTCACTTGCTCTGAAAATATTGCCAATATTCTGTCCTT